AGAACTAAATTCATCCGAAGAAAACCTACGATAACAGGATACATAAAATAGAATCGCGCGAACAAACAAACGACTCAAGCAGTTCTCCTCGATGGGCTGACGGGGCCTGAAGCATGCTGGTCGGTCGGGGATAGGCTTCCACCGGATGGGCTGCAGCGGCACCGGCGGCGAGGGTGACCCCCGGCGGCAGAACTTGCCCCGCGGCGGCGGCGGGCGGGAGACGGCCGGGATGTAGGCACTCGTGGAGAGAGCGGCAGCATTGGTAGTAGCATGAGCGGCGAGAGTGGTGACCCCAGGCGACAGGGATTTCCCCGCGGCGGCGGGAGGAGATGGCCGGGCCGAAGGCACTCGTGGCGGGAACGACATCATCGTCAGCTGCACCGGTGGCGAGAGGGGGGACCACCAGCTGTCATGTATTCCCTGCGACGCCGGCCGTAGGGACGGCACGCACTCGCAGCTAGAGCGATACCATCGGTAGCTGCACCGGCGGCGAGAAGGTCGGCCCATGGTGGCAGGGTCTTCGCCGTGGCGGCGACGGCGGCAGGGGAGACGGCCGGGCCGCAGGCCCTCGTGGCGGGAGCGGCAGCATCGGCTGCAGCACCGGCGGCGAGAGGGGGGACCACCGGTAGTAATGTCTTCCCTGTGACGCCGGCTGGGGAGACGGCACGCACTCGCAGCTAGAGCGATACCATCGGTAGCAGCACCGGCGGCGAGAGTGGTGACCGGCGGCGAGAAGGTCGGCCCATGGTGGCAGGGTCTTCGCCGTGGCGGCGACGGCGGCAGGGGAGACGGCCGGGCCGCAGGCCCTCGTGGCGGGAGCGGCAGCATCGGCTGCAGCACCGGCGGCGAGAGGGGGGACCACCGGTAGTAATGTCTTCCCTGCGACGCCGGCCGGGGAGACGGCACGCACTCGCAGCTAGAGCGATACCATCGGTAGCAGCACCGGCGGCGAGAGTGGTGACCCCTGGCAGCAGGGTTTTCTACGCGGCGGCGACGGCGGCAGGGGAGACGGCCGGGGCGCAGGCCGGAGCGGCAGGGGCGGCAGCATCGGCAGCAGCACCGGCGGCGAGAGGGGGGACCACCGGCAGTCATGTATTCTCCGCGGCGCCGGCGGCCGGCCGGAACGCACGCACTTGCGAACGGAGCAGCGGCACCGTTGATGGGAGCGACGACGACAGGAGCGGTTACTGTGACGGTCGCGACGGAGGGTGGACTGGGCTACCGCACGCCATGAGCCAACCCGGCAGACGGCGATCCGTCAGCAGAGGTACAAGGTGACGCCTGCTGTCACGCGGTCGGGGTCTCGTGGAACCCTTATCGTGGTCGGGTGTGGGCGCGTGTACTTCATTATCACGTGGGGGGGAAATACTATCTTTTATTCTCCACCTCGGTGCCGGTCGTGGACTGTTCTTTTTCGGGCGAAGGTTGACGTTGCCCAGAACGCTCTCGACAGAAGCCCGTGAGCATGATAACGAAGTACACGCGCCGACACCCAACCACGATAATATCGGTTCAACGAGATCCCGACCGTGTGACCGCAGTCACCTTGTACCGCTGCTGACGGATCACCGTCTGCCGGGCTGGCTCATTGTGTGCGGTGGCCCAGTCCAGCCTCCGTCCCCACCGTCACGGTAACCGCTCCTCCTGTCGTCGCATCTCTCATCAACGGTTCCGCCGCTCCGTCCGCGAGTGCGTGCATCTCGGCCGGCCGCCACCGAGGGGAAAACATGACCACTGGCGACCCCCCCTCATGGCGCAGGTGCTGCTGCGGATGCTTCTGTTCTATCTAGCCGCGAGTGCCTGCGCCCCGGCCGTCTGCCCCTCCGCTGCCGCGAGGAAAACCTGCCGCCGGGGGTCGCCACTCTGTCAGCATTCATACACTAGTTGCTCCATTACAACTCTCGCCGCCGGTGCTGCTACCGATGGTACCGCTCTAGCCGCGAGTGCCTGCACCCCGACCGTCCCCCCGGCTGGCGTCGTGGGGAAAACATGGCTGCCGGGGGTCACCCCTTCGCCGCTGATGCTGCTACCAACCCTGTCAGGCCACCGGGGAGAATTGCTTCGAGGAGTTTTTTCGTGCGGTTTCTTTCGTGTTTACTTCTTCTATTGTATGTATCGAGGGAAACAAAATACATGTAACTGCTGTCCCAGGCTGTGCCAAGCCAAAAAAATGCAAGAAGAGAGCACTGCCGAATAATATTGATGGGAGTCATTGCCATTACAGCAGCACAGCAGCCGCAGCAGCAGCAGCAGCAGCAGCAGCAGCAGCAGCACTAGCAGCAGCAGCAGCACTACAAGTGCATTCTCAGCTACTACTTACTGTACATTTGCATTTTTGTCTGCGCAAGTACTGTTTGTGCCGATCGTTTGGTGGTACTGGTGTTGTTGTTGTTGCAGAGACGAGCGTGTTCCTCCGCCGTTGATGTGTGCAAAGAACTTCCAGCGGGAGCGCGTGTACAAGGGTCGGTCGTGGAAGATCCGTTCGAATATAATTCTGCAAGAAGTAATTGAATTGGGCCTTCCGGGTTGCTGCGTTGCTGTCTACATTGTAGAAGCAGCGTGTCTCGCACCTTGCACAACATCGCAGGTATAGACTATGCAAGGTATTGAGTCGTCACCCGCGGCTCATTCACCCCCCTTTATCTAGTACACGTGGATGACTGTGCTGCCTTGAAGCACTACATGCAGCAGATACTACTGACGTGCAGTACTACATAAAGACGGCACGCTTGAGCTCCCTTCCTCAATATCAGCAAGAACTAAACAAAAAAAAACTTCGAATTAATTGTGATGATGCACCGGACCCTCTTTGTCTGTTCAACCACCCCGTTCCGATGGCGAAAGACCCCAACAAGCTGTTACAAAACAAACACAAAATAATAAAGAGGAGATAGACCGAGCGTGATGACGGAGGAAGTAATAATGGGAGAGAGTCCGACAATCCTATGTGCATGCTGTATGTGTATACAGACACATGATGACATATACATGAGGACGTTCTTTGCCCGCCTAAACGCCTTCTTATGTTGTAGGCTAGCAACACTGCTCGAGATCATTTCATGTACTCTTCTCGTATTTTAATGCTGCTGCTGTATACTTGTACCCAAAGAAGAGCCGAAAAGTGGACGGACGGAGAGAGGAGAAAGGAGACGAGAATGGCTAGGGCGAAGGCGTACCACCGTATAACGCGTTTCCTCCGTGGTGGACATGGCGTAAGTAACTGCATAAGTTGGTAGCTTGTGCGGCTCTCTCGCATTTAGGTTGGAACTCGAAGGCACACAGCAACCGACAAATAATAATATTCTTGTTATCGACAATAATAATAGATGGACGGACGGACGGGCAGTTGCAAAACAAAGAAAGCCAACTTGCCAACGTTTGATGTAGACTGGGCGGCCGCCATGTAAAATGGGAAGTGAGTCAAATGCACACCACCGAAACCATGTACTGCAGGGGCAGCACTCGCGGCGGCAGTTGACACATACATGCGGTCCGGATGCAGACTGCTCAACTCGAAGCAACTACACAAAACCCGCGTGGAAGACAAAAGGCCCGCGGATATTAATATTGCGGGCATATGCATACGTCGTGCTACGTCGTGCGAGAGCAACGACGATTGTTGCACGTTAGGGAACCGTCCGGACGGGCGTCCAACCCTATAACAGGCAGAGAGACAGTACACCTCCGAGATGCCCGCTGTGGTGCATCACAACAGCAGCCTGAGGGATACAAACCACCAAGAAGGTGGGAAGCCCCCCGCTCACTCAGCAAGAAGAAAAATAAATAAATGAAATGTGATGCACCGCACGGACCCTCTTTGTCTGTTCAACCGCCCCGTTCGGGTGGCGACACGGACAAGGCCGACTCTTGTCGGCCACAGGAGGCGGAAGCTCCTCAAACTCGGGGAGGGGTCATGATCTGCGATTTCCCCACCGAATCATACTCAAGACTCCGCGAAAATCGCACTGTAGCTTGAGATCAGCATTTCGGGTCGGGTCGGGCAAGGGGTGGGGGAGTCGAATGAAACTTCCACGGATATTGGTCTGAGAAGCTGAAGCTAAGCTTCAGAAAAAGTATGGAGATCACGAGCGAAATCATTTCGGGCGAGAGGGAAGATGGAAGATCTCAGTCATGATGGTGCTGGTCCCAAGCCTTCGACTTTTTGTTGGACGTGGTTTGATGTGCGTGAGCGGTGTGAACGAGCGGATGGAGGGGTAAAATACCTGTGGGACCCGCCCGACCAGGTGACAGGATGCGGCAACGAAACACGCCCCCATGCATACTGATACAATACGGTTACGGGTGCTCGTGGGTGCGGGGACCCCAAGAAAAAAAATGCAATTTGCGCATGGCATGCAGCTACGGGCGCCCCGGTAGTCTAGTTGGTATCCTCGACCTTCTATTATAGTGGCCAGGGGGTTCAAATCCTATTGTAAGCGAGCTTTTCTTGCGAACTGGGTTTTTCTCTCGCTTCCGTTCCTTGCCTGGCTGGGTGGAAAGCGCTAGTTCGTGTACACGGAGGGAAGAGAGTGGCATTAAAAATCGAAAGGCAAAAGCACCGCATGAGCGGTGGGTAGGGGGCCTCAGGGAGAGGAACCCTTCTGTGTGACCACGGGTTGGAGCAAACGGCACAATTGCTGCGGGGAATTATTTGAAGTGAGGACAACAAAAAAAAAGAAAAACTGCTGTTGTTTTGTACATTTTACAATAGAAAAAGATAGAGAGAAAAGGTAGAGGAGCGGAGAGAACAAACGGACCTTCCGCTATGACGGTGTCGACCGTGGATCCTATCTATACACACAGAAGTTTATTTCCTCTCAAGCCTCGGTGATGCAGACGAGCAATGCTCCTCAAGGTCCTCTGAGATGTACTTCTCGAGAGCATATCCGGAGAGAGAGAGTCAGACTAAGCGGGGACTATGCGGCGGACCCCACAATATACAACTAGCTGTTCTTTTCGCAATCTCCCCAGCAAGGCGGAAGGGAGAGAAGAGAAAGGCAGAAAGGTGGAGGGCGTAGTATTGCCGCTTGGCGTGCGTTTCTAATCCTGTGTTCCTCCTGCCATATTTCCCTTTTTAACCCAATACCGCTCGATATATTCACAAGAGACACACCGGAGACGATACAAAGGAAATACACACAAGCGCAATGACACGTATAACCAGCCACGAGTAATTTGTTCCTTTACACACCTCCAAGATGTCACGCTATTAGCTACGAACAGATCCAGCCCCAGCTGGTGTCGCGTGACGTAGCCGCGGCTTGCGTAAATCTAACCTCCACATGTATTGCCTATATTGCGTAGATTGTCGCAAAATCGACCCGTGCTTCCAACATGCTGCTTGTGAAGCAAAACTAAAGCGTCTTGGAGACGACAGCTGAGGCCCGACTGAGGTCCGACTGGAGTCAGCTCACAACAGCACCAAATTTGTGCCATTGAAGTGGGTGCGGTGGTCTCCATATCAACGATCCACCCGAACCTTTTCGAAACACAAACTACTATTTCCAGTCACGATCGAAATCTCCAAGGGATATCTCTACTGCTATCGAAAAGCGTGAGACTGGTAAGGGTGGAAAGAGTGGACAATAGAGAAAATTTACCAAAATGCAAAAAGCCAATTTTGACAAAGAAAGAACACAGCCCCTCACGCTCAGACTCAAAAAGATGCAATATAACTGCAGCCGTCTCCGCCACACGACGAGACTACAGTACCCAATAAAACTACACGCACTGCATACAACTCTACAATGCAGACACCAGTGTGGGGGCCAAGCGTTTCTTTTTCGGGGTCTCGTTTCCCACCGCGACGTGTTTAGCGGAGGCGGGTAAAGGGCTTTGCGTGCCGGACACCAGACCGTCGTCGCCACTAGCATCCTCATTCATACCGGGCACACAGAGGGTTGGAGTGATTCGGCGTTTCTTCCTTTCCGTCGAAGGTGTGGTGGGGCTAGGAGGAACAGCCGTCGAAGAAGCTACCGGTTGAGCGCGATCAGCAGCAGGCAGAGGGGTGACTAACGTCGGTACTATCTTCTTTTTCTGTTTGGTCGCCACCGGGAGAGGACTGGGAGCTGGAGCTAGGCCTAGCGCCTTTCCGGTACTGGTCTCACCACCAGCTTGTGTAGGTGTTTCTACGCGTACCACACCACTCGGAGGAGGGCTTGGTCTCAGTACTCTCCCTGCCACCTCTTCGGTAGGGGTTACCTCCGTTTGCCAATCGTAGATGACCGGGTGTAGGCGCCGTGTTTGCAGTGGCACATCCGAACATGGGAGAGTATCTCCAAGCTCTCCCGGTTCAAAGTGGATTTTCGACACATACCCATCAGTTGATGACACGAATAAAGCAAGCCCGTCCGAAGACCTGGACCACGCCAAACCACACAGCGACAGGTGAAAGCCATGAAAAACATTGGGGTTAGACAAGACGTGGAATCTTGGTTGTACGATCTTCTTGACACCAACGCAGGTTCCTCGCAAGTGGCTTGGCATCAAGCGCATCTGATGAACACATTGATGCAATCGCTGGCACGAATGCATGATTTCTGCAACGCAGTGGGCATTGAAGATCCCAATAAATCAAATCAAGATCCTCACCAGCAAGCATCGGTGAGTGCTGATAAATGCAGCCCGTTGGCCACCATCAGCGGGGTCGCGTGCTCCGTATCGTACACCACCACAGCATCCAGAGACACAACCGCGAACACAGCACGGTACGGCAAATCGCACATCGCTTCTTCGACTGCTTCACTCCTGGTGTTGTCGCCGCACCCCTTGAGTGTAAATAGCCGAGGGTTGCATCTCACAGCAACGGACGGCTTGGTCAAACCCAGAAGACAAATAGCCGGCCTGTCGAGGGAGAGCGGGGGAAACATTCAGGTCGCGGGGAACAAAACAATGTATAGGTACTGACGTCTTCGTATTTTTTTCGTCAAGAGCACACGCCATGGTCCGATACCCCCACCAAAAAGGTACGGCTGTTGTAGTTGCTGCCGCTGTTGCTACTGCTGCTGCTGAAGTCTCGCATCAAGGTCCATCGTAACATACACATGTAGACCCGAGGGATAACGTTCGGCATTTTCTCACTTGGCGAACTGTCCCCGTGTGAAGAGGTGGGTGCAAAACTGCGTCTGCCTAGTAGCCGCGTCCCAGTGTTGCGCCGTCGGGGTGATGAGAAAAGCTCCATCGGGAGACCAGCTCAGTCGCCTGAAAAAGCTGGTGACCGTTTCGTCGACGAAAAGATTTTTCCGCTGGACAGGTTTGGCCTTATCTTTCGTGCTGTCTACTCCCGTCGCGCACGAATCTTCGTTGCCCCCGCTGGGTCCTTTGTCACCTCCTCCACTGCGTTGGTTATCGTCTGTTGTGCTACCACGTGCATCAACTGCGCTGCTGGTGGGTTGGATGCAGCCTGCACCGTCTCCCCCCGTCTCCGAAGTAACCGTTGAAGGCCTTTCCCCCGGGGCCGTAGTACCTTCCCGTGGGAGGGGGGGCTCTCCACCAGCTGAAGAGCCCCCGCTGCTGCCCTCGTCTGACGGAACGACGCACGACTTGATCACGTTGCAGCACTTAACAGCTACCCGCCCAGCCCCGGATGATCCGCTACCCCCCCCCCCGTCTTGTGTAATTTGATAGACACGGCAAGAGCGATCGCTGCTCTGTGTCGCCATGTACTTGGACTGGGGGTCCCACGCCGTACCCTGTGGCCAAGCGTGTAAAACACGGGGAATCGTCGTTTAAGAATGGGAAATATTCGGATCTGATAGGTTGCAAAGCTGGAAGGGCAAAAGATAGTTCCGAACAAGGGTATTTCCGAACGACATGGAGAATAGAACGGGTACCGTGGGCATCTAAGAAAAGAAAATCAATCGAATATATATGTTCACGTCTCCGGAGGTTCCATTGGCGTGTGCCCAACGAACACGTGTTTCGATCAACTTGAAAAGTAGAGAGGGCACCGTGGGGACCGTATCAACAATCGAATATGTTCACGTCTGGAGCCCCCATGGCATGTGTTACGTCCATTAGACAACCCTTCTTTGGAAATAGAACCTTGCAAAATTATCTTGGCATTTTGACCCAAGATTTGCTCACAATATATCTCCACCAAGATTTGCAGTATCGCGATTTATGGGGGAAATATGTTGAATGTTGCAAAAGCGGCGTGTTGTTCCTCTCTTCTGCTTGAAGTTGATAAAGGCACAACGGCCACTTGGTCCACAGAAAATGCCAAGGTGTGGCGAAAAGTGAGCATGACGCAGTTGTAGAAGGAGCGTCCCTCCCTCAGCTGTATTGCCTCAACACTATGGGTGGATACTAGCGATGGACGCCTACCTGGGGTGCAAAATAGAAGCCGTTGCCCACGAGCTCATGTCAAGCGGAGAAACAAAATTGTTCCATTGCTGTCCAACTGACAAGAAAGTACATCAACCCAAAGCCGATGACACCCGTGCACGTATCTCACTATTATGTAGCAGGCGTACCGAGGTCTCTGTCATCTGCACTCACGGATCTGGCTCGGGTGCAAACGGATTGGGTGTGGGGTGATGCGATGAAGAGATAGAAGCGTCGCACACGACAGAGCTGTGTTGGCAAAACGTTCCTCCTCTATTTTTTTACTTCAAAATAAAGTGCTCTTTGAACGGTCGCTCGACAGACTGGTGATGACGCACGTCGAACGAGCCAGGGCAAATACGCATTTTTATCGCGCGCCTTGGTCGTTTTCGTTCGCTGTCGGCGCCTGTGGCGCCGACACAGTGATGCCAGGGTGCGTTAGAGACCCTTGCGAGTGTGCCATGTGCAGATTTCATGGCGTTATGGAAGATTAGGTTGACTGACCTTCGGTGATCGCGCCGCACCCAGGCAAGACTTGTTACGCCGCCTCAAGATTTGTCGGAGGGCTCGTTTTGACAGATCTTGGGTCAAGATTTGTTCGAAACGGCAGATTTCGGGCCTCGAGAAATCTTGGCCAAGATATGTCGCAAGATTTCGCTCCCATAAATCGTGAAGCTGGCAGATCTTGGCCAAGATCAAGATTCATCGACAAGATTTCGTTCCCATAAATCGGGGTCTTACTGTAGCCACGCGGGTTGCTTGCTCCCCCATGTAAAGAAATACCCTGTGAACGTACAACCAGATATATACTCGAAGTGTATGTTGTGGATTGGCTGCCAGCCAGTTGACTACATTTGCCACCGCCGATGGCAGTTCGAATCTACGTTCGCAAGCAGTGTTCATGCCGTATATTTTGCGTTAAACTGGAGAAAGGCTTAGCAACTGCGAAACACCATCGCGGTCACCTTTTGCTCTTGGGGCGCAAATTCAACCCAGGGTTTGCCCAAGTGTGTGTTTCCGCCCCATCTATTCTGGGAGCCAGTCTACACCTTTTGGTAAACGTCTGACACACGAGCCGGGGTCACACAGGCGGACGGCAAGCCACCGGCCCCTCTCGGCCCCCCCGGTGGTTGCCCTCCAACTATCAACTTTTATCGTAGAAGATTTCGCCAGCTCGTTCCCTCTCTCCTCTCGCTTTGCCTTTGCTCACGACTATGCGTTTTCCATCTTCAGATTGTGACCTTTTCACTCCAGAGAGATTCGATACAAGGTTTGACTGGCCCAACGGCTAGCAAGAAGGAAATCATCCAGAACTTGGAGCGTGTGCAAAAAGCTTACACAGTCTAAATAAACGCAGTGGCTATACACGTTCGGCCTGGCCTTTCGGCCTGCACACGTTGCCAAAAACCAAGCGAGATCTACTGTGAACCCCCTGCAGTGCAGAGGAGACCCCAAAAGCGTCCTTATGATGATACAACGAACTCCAAAATGAACAAGAATACGGGGCATGGTGGCACCGAGACAGACACCTTTAGGTTGCGCTCTTGGAACTTGGACGCCGAATGTTTACTATTGTAGACTAACCGGTCATCTGCACGACAACAGGAGCTGCTGCAAAGTTGCGGCAAGTCCTATATCCTAGTATCCTACATGAAATTAGAAATTAGGGGACCTATCGGGAGGCGTCGACATGACTGATCGCTCGAGAAAAAATGGTACAGTACCACGCCTACCACAGCAGTGGAAAAGGGTAACATTGATTATGACTTTTCAACACGGAGATTGCAATACCCCTAATTTAGAAACCTGACCTTGCCACCTAAAATGCTGGCGGGCAACAAACAATACCTGCACGTAGTTGGCGTGGTCCTCTAGAGTCGCGATGGATCGCTTGGTGGCAACCTCCCAGACGTGAGCTCGGCGATCGATTGAGCCGCACGTAATGTACTTGGAATCTGGTGACCACGCCATATCGTAGATATCTTCCGTTGCACCTCTCAGGATATTTTTTCGTGTGTCGCGGTCTGACTTGATGGTGCTCCAAGCAGCTACATCCTCCACGCTCCAAATCACGACGGTGCCTCCATCACTTGCGCTCGCCAAGCTCAATCCATCGGGGCTGAATCTCACAGCGTTCACGCCCCGCTGGTGTCCCCCTAGAGAAGCCACGAACGTCTGCAAGCGGCTGGAAACGCCTGCCTGCTCCCAGTTCTTTGCATCCTCCTGTGTAGGGCGATTGACTATCCATAGTCGCACCTCGGCGTCGGTGCCTGCAGTGGCTAGCACGACCCGCGAGCCCTGGTGACCGCCATCAAGCGCCAAAGGGTGGGTGTCGAGTGACAGTATGGGCGCATTCTTGCCAGCTTCACCTCCATGCCACACGATTTGTGGCGTGTCTACGAGCGGCATCTCATGTGACCGGTACTCTGAACTCTGGAGGTGTTCGCTCAAGGTACTTTCGTCGTGGACTTTAGGATGTGCGTTCCTATGCACACCTCGGCTTGCCTCGGCCAACACCTCGCCGATACAAAATCAAAAATTCAAATAAACAAAAAGCTTCCGTCATGAAACTTGGAACTCCCATAGTAATCCCGCCGCACCTGCGCAAATTCGCTGATCGCTCGCTATCTTCGCGCTGTACAACGCACAAATTAAACTCCATCTCCCTGTTGCCGCTGTGCTTTGGAAAACTATCAAGACTACCATCGGCAACACGCAGTCGTGTTTTCCGATAGAGAGGAAGGCCTATGGATGGCTCGCTATTCCGGGCTGTGGACGTGGCTGAACTGGAAACGAAGGTCTTAGCGGAAGCTGACCAGAGGGCACGGGATGCAAGCATTCCCCAGTTCTTCGTTTCGAGCACAGGAGAGGGTTTGGGGTTTGGCCCTTCCTCTCTTGGCAGTTTCTGCTCAACGACAGACCCATTCATATTCCGCCTAGCTGCGGATGTGGCAAGACGGGAAGGCCGAGAATTGCGAGAAGGGGGTGTTGGCAACTTGGCAGCCCGTGACAGGGTGAGTTCCCTCCCCTTCAGCTGCTGTACGGACTCATGTGTGCTTTGTACGCTCCACTGCTCTTCTGAGCGCTGAGTTCTGCAGTGTATTGGCTTTATTTCTGCCATGTCCATATTGCCCGTCTCTTCCTGTCCAACATCAACTCATTGCTGGCTGTCCGTCTGTCGACCGTCTCAGGTGCAGATGAAAACGCAAATTTTGAGAGGATTGCTGCGCGATAGATGTGGGGACGACGGGCAAGAGGAAGCTGGGGCCGCAGGATGCGTGGAAGCTGCCTCATGTTCTGAAGAGCAGAGCCATGAAGACCTTGTGAAAACAGGCGCTGTCACCCCTCTCGACGCGTTTGATGATCCCACAATCGGTCTGGCTGGGAGACGCCGGAAGACAATTCAGGACTACAAGGTGGCAGAGGGTATGACCGTAAAGCTCCCTCGCTCTCGACGTCCCAAAGCAAGAACACGGGAAAGTGTTCGGAAGCAAGCCGAATCTGGGAACGATTCCTTTGGAGAGCTCGACAACGCTGGGACTAGCATTGATTCTTCGACGTTTGTCCAACCCCAACGCAGCTCGAGAGGGGATGAGGGAGTCAGCGCGGAAAAAAACGCCGCCGTCCAGTGTCCCGTCTGCGCGCAGATGGTCACGGTCGACGATCCGGCAAACCCGGACATTTGCCTCAGTAGACACATGGATCGATGCACTCGCAGTGCCAGGCGGAGATCGTGTCGGCAAGCAGGAGAAGCGAGGGGCCTCGAAAAGGGAAGTGACGCTAGCACAAGACCAAGAGCGTCGAGTCGAGGAGGTCCGTGCCTGCGGATGTTGGCTATAGTTTTATCCTTGTCCGAGCATCATGCCACTCTTGCGTGAGTCATTTTCAGCCGTCACATGATGTCACGTAGATTGTGGACGCCAACCAAAGTGGTTCCCATCTGGACTGTCAACAACAGGTGGTGGAAGCACCAGCAAGCGCCGGGGGCAAGATTCCGATGTAAATGGTGGTCATTTGGCCGCGAAATCTAGAAGTAGCGCCCTTGTAGACCATCTAGGAACCGGGGTGACGAGGGCGAAGCGACGAAAAGCATCAGGCCAGGCCGTGGTACACGGGAGCGAAAGTAGTGAAACGGATGCTGCACTCAAGGTTCTCGGTGGAGGCCAGTCGCTGGTGGACGACTTCGATGACGAAGACTTCGAGACCCGGAAGGTATTTGTTGAACTTGTATATTTAGCTGCACATTGTTGTGGTTGATTCGGGCGCTACACCGGGCGTTAAACGAGGAGGCGTTTCCTGTCATCGTGCGAGCTGGGAACCAGGGTGGATGCAGCGAGGCCACGCGGGAAACATGTCGGCAATGGTCCCCCAGGCTGCATTTGTGCTAACGCCAACGATCCCCTATTTGGGGGTCTATTTACGGTCTGTTCCGTGACTCTTTGGGTCTGACCGGATGTTGAACCGTAGCTCCGCAGACGGGATGTGTCACACACCGTGGCCAACCCAACCGTAACCCCAACCCTGGCGGGCGCGAACTGGGCGAGAACGCGGAACAGGGAGAGGGCGCTGGAGAGTGATCGATCGGTCTACCAGCGGTCGACCGATCAGAGGGCGTACATGCCTTTGATGGGAAGATTCACTCACAGACCGTAAAGACTACTGCCCGTTTGTGCACACCTGAACGTTTCGTCGCGCAGGCGCAAGTCGTTGATCTTTCGGTAGCCAACGGTGTGGGTGAGGATTCCCTAAGCGCCAACTCTGCCGAGCTGGGGGACGGCTTGATTTTGGACGATGGCATCGCTCAACGCCTGTTCCAGTTTCAGCGCACAGGTGCCCGGAAAAAGTACAACACCGACGACACGACTGCTGTAGTGTCCAAAAGTTGTGTGTGCGTGATCGAGATTCGGAGGCTGTTTCGAAGCCGAGCACACTATCTGTTCGTGACGTGGTCTTGATATCATGGTGTATTCAGCTTGAGACCGCCCTGGCCTAGTTGCTTGTGATCAAGACTCGGTGCCTCTCCCTTACTCTCCCCCACGAACGATGTTCGCAGGCGTGCGCTGGATGTGGCAACTGCACAGACAGGGTGCTGGCGGGATTGTCGGAGATGAGATGGGCTTAGGCAAGACCGTTCAGGTGTGTGGTGTATATGAAGGGATGGCTGCGATGCACGTTGATATGAATCCGCGCACATGGATCTCAATTTTCTCTGGGTTGAGTGCGTAGGCCGGCCTTTCCCCTGACTAAACCAGCAATGAAGAATACAAGGCTACCCTTCGGGAGGCAGGTGCGCTTGCCTCCCGGGGGCGACGCAAGAGCACTTGGCCACTGCTATCCATGGTTGCATCGTTCTATATCTCAACCTTTGGTAGTGCCACGGTTGGTTTTGGTACAAACTGCGGAAATACCTCGCATCAATCTGCGGGGAAACTTTTTTTCTAGCCGTGTGACTCTTCGCGTGCGCTCGCGGTGTCGTAGAGATCCTACTACTGCTGTATCACAGACTGCTGCTGCCGTATTCTTCAACTACATTATTTTCGGCGGGTATTTGTGTATTGTACGGTCATCGCTCGAGGAGGTTTCTGCGCAGATTCTCTGTGATCAGTCCAGTTAAAGGTATTCCTCTTGCGAAATACCCCGGCGGATAATCAGGCATAAATTGGAGCCGGTGTTTTACCTATTTGTCCGTGTTGTCCGCTGTGTGGCAATTCGAGTGGTGAGTCCCAAGCACACATACAATAGGGTGGCGGCGCCTGCCGCAGATCGTACTGCTGTAACCCGCTGCTCTTTTGCTCTCTCTCTACCTCTTGTGTCTTGTACCGCGTTGCTCATGGTGTGGGGAACGTGTGTGGCTTGCGCAGGAGACAAATGGCAAAATGGCTCCCTTGTGCGTAGCTCCTTGTGCGGATGAATAAAAAAATTGTAAATGCTGCGAAGGATTTTGTGGCAGGCAACATGTCCATGGCGTATAGAGCCAGTTTTTATAACTTTGGACGTCGAGCACACGCGTCACGGGTGGCTGGCGGTCCTCGGGCGTTCGCGGTATTGGACCGACGACCCCCCTGCGTGCCCCTGAGAAGGAAGCATGAGAAAGATTGACTTCCACCAGGAAAAGACGTCCCGAAGCACGAAAACAGGCGAAATGATGCTGCTCCGGCGGTAGAGGTGAATTGCAAATACTTGTTACTTCATTGCAATAACCAATGCAGAATGTTGTTCATATCGGGCATTGAAACATGAACAGGTGTCAGCGTTTCTCGGAGCGCTCCACGGGAGTAGCGTGATGCGACGAGCGTTAATCTTGTGCCCAGCCACGGTCCTTTCTCATTGGATGGCAGAGCTGCACATATGGGCTCCCCAACTAAGAGTCGTGGTTTTGCATCGCTGTGTTCAGGCCTTCAACGCTGTCAGTGGCAACTCAGGTGCGGATGAAAAACGTTTCTTATCACCACGACGTTTGGTGGTATGGATTAGGTTGTCATTTTTTCATGGGCAAGAATACGTGCAATTCTTCAAGACCTGCAGAAAGGTACCGGCTTCTAGCGAAAGGTGCTATTAGCTTGTCCTCCAACGTCGTCCTCTCCTTTTCTAAATGCAGGAAAACTCCGAGCTCTGATTCGACGAATTCTGGGCTGGCCGGAGGTTGTCGTGGTGGCATCGTACGAAGGGATGAAGTCCTTGAAGGCGTTTCTTTTGCCGTGCAACTGGGACTATTGCGTGTTGGACGAAGGACAGCGCATTCGTAATCCAGACGCAGAGGTACCAGCTGCATACTGTGTTTCTCTAGACCTGTGTGGGCCGTCAAGACATGAAACATGATGTGTTCGATTGCTGTGCTCCATTTCTCGTTATCAGTGTGGTGTGTAGCTGATTACGTTGAATGTCTTTAATCGCTGCCCTTGTTTCGTTTACTGGTGCGCGTCGATTGTGCAGGTTACACTCATCTGCAAGCAGATTCGAACTGTGCACCGTCTTATCCTGACCGGAACGCCGATCCAGAACAACCTCCGCGAGTTGTGGAGCCTATTTGACTTCGTCTTCCCCGGCAGACTCGGTACTCTTCCAGCGTTTGAGGCAGAGTTCGCCAACCCCATTCGCGTTGGTGGTTACGCCAATGCAAGGCAAGTTGTGAGCTGCAGTAGGCGCTGCCGTGAAAACTTAGATGTCGAACGAGACGATGGCCGTATGGTGAATCAACTCTTCTGACCCATGTATTCTCTTGTGTTTGTTGTCTGAGGGCGTGACAGCCCCATGCAGGCTCGCCTTGCGTATCGCTGCGCTCTGGTGTTGCGAGACTTGATCCAGCCGTATTTGCTCCGAAGGCAAAAGAAGGACCTCGAAGATATCATCCATCTGCCTGCAAAGACTGAACAGGTGCAGTAGCAATGATCACCTGCTGACGTTCATGTCTGCGATTGTGCTTGAACGTACGAAGTACAGGAGCCGTGTGAAGTGCAGACATCAGCTTTGTGTGGGTGGCTAAATCTCGGTAATAAATCTCGTCTAAAACCCAGCGGCAGTTGATGCCGCTCTGTGGTTTTCGGGGTTTGATCGCGGTAGACTATACCCTCCGGGGGATCATATGTATCTAGTAGTATTGCGTGTGGACAAGGCACCTTCACGGCCAACTTCGCGCGTTGCGTGCCCCTCCTTCGAAAGGGCAGGCTAGGAACACTCTTGCCACAAGGCCATTCTATTGGTTTACATTTGTAGGATGCGCGGCGGCCCGCCAATCCGCCGATACACGTGCTCCACCAACCTCGTGTGACAGAGACATACCAGTAGTTGGCATGCTGAATAACGATGGGGCTGGGCATGTTGCCGCTGCTATTACGCCACGTTCGCAGGTGTTGTTCTGTCGCTTGACGTCTTACCAACGTCGGCTCTACAGCGAGTTCCTGGAGTCTACCGAAGTGAAGAGCGTATTGAGCAGAACAATGCGAGCCTTCAGAGCCATTGGGATCCTCCGCAAACTGTGCAACCACCCGGACTTGGTGTGCCGCTTTGGCGACTCTGTGGTCACCAGGTGAGAAGCGAGGTGTAGCAGGTGGGACCACCACAGCAGCACTTGCCAAAGGTTGCAGCAATTACCAGAAGGTTTTCTCCCGATTGCTGTTGTATCAGGCGGCTGCTGTGTTCGCAAACTACTACTAGTCATAGTTTCCCTGGCCTTCGACGCCGCCACCCCTTCATAACCTCGAATGATTCGGGGGAGTTGCGGCGGTGGGGTTGTACCGGCTGTAGGGTGTGTCTAACCACCACCACGTATTTGTCGATACCCCAGGTTGGCTAGTCACCAAATTTGGGGTGGGGATAGTGACGCAAGTGAGAAGGAAGAGGACGATACGGCGGAGGAATCGAAGAGCGACAACGACCATGAAGTTCAGCGATCAGGAAAACTCCTTGTGCTCCAGCAAATACTGCCGCTTTGGCACAAGCAGGTGGGATCACAGGTCAAAACGTGTACCGTGACTGCAACTAGTACGCAATTGGACTATTTTCTGCGTGGATATCGAAAAGCGGTGTTGTTGGCGTCCAGTCATTACGTTCCTACATCCCAATCTACCACCATTGTGCATCGCAGGGCCATCGAGTTCTCCTGTTCTCTCAGACTCGTCAGATGTTGAGCATCATCGAACGCTTCGTGGTCAACAATGAATGGTCTTACGGACGCTTAGACGGCAGTACGCCGGTTGGCAACAGGCAGGTGAGCGAACGTATCATGTTTAGCTTTCTGCCAGTTGTGCCAGATATTTGTTGGCAAGTCTTGGTTGAGAGAGCCCAGCTTTAGCATGCAAATAAATCCGTTGTGACACAGGCAACACGCGCGGAGTAATGGGCACTCGAAAGTTGCCAGTTTCGTCGTCCAACGCCCCGCTTTGCGCAGGTTGGCAAGCTATGTCGTTTATTGCGTGCTGACCGCAAAATTCTCCCCGCTTTTCGCCGTTCTCCAGACCCTCATTGATCGCTTCAACAACGACGAATCGATGTTCATCATGCTATTGACTACTCGAACTGGGGGTGTCGGGGTCAATCTCACTGGTGCCGACCGAGTGATACTTTTTGACCCAGACTGGAACCCGAGCACCGATATGCAGGTATTTTGATTTGAGGTTCATGACACCGTTGAGGTGATGTTTGCCGTACGGCGAGATGCGACCTTGAAGTATCATGAATGCGAACGTCTTGGTAAAAAAACTGTGGAACGTGAGTTGATTAATGCCGTTTGTTGTGCTCTGTGGTAGCTCAAATCGCGCTGCATTGTGTGGAAGTTTGGACCAAGCGTTCGTCATTTGATGAAACTTCTCGTAGGCTATGCCACCAATTCAAGTCTCCTTCACCGTGCCTTGCGTTTGATTATCCAAGGCTAGAGAGCGCTCGTGGCGAGTCGGACAACGGCGCCAGGTGACCGTCTACCGGCTCGTGACTGCCGGGACCATCGAAGAGAAGATCTACCACCGACAGATTTTCAAGACCGCACTTACAAACCGAGTCCTTCAGGTATTAAGGAAGCACCTTCTGCTCACAAGAGTACTTTGTTCCATGCGGCAGACGTTAGCCGCGACGAAGATGTATGTGCATAACGTGATGACACAGAACTATCAATGCGTTGCTTCTTTCTCCCAACTTGTTGGACTGCAGGACCCCAAGCAGAGGCGAATGTTCAGCGCGGACGAACTAGGAGACCTCTTTACCCTTGGTGATGATGGTGCTTCAGACGGATTCACCGACACGATCGATCTATTCCAGGTACATCATGTTTAGCTGAGTCAATGCATCCCCAACAGCGCTACATGCTTTTCATACGCAAAAGCCGTATTTTGCGTGCCCAAAATGAAGGGAAATCTACCACCTAGGTTGCACGTAGTCTACAGAGCGCGCCGACAATTGTCCTGGCTGTTGTGCGGTTCTGGAACGGCGTGACAGGGAGAAGGAAGGGTTCGTTTTCCTCAGGGAGAACAGCAGGGGTCAAATTCGAGGCGTTCGGAAGGAGCCAGCGATGTCCGAAGGAAGAACGGGCGTAAGAAAAGTCCTTCACGAAGGGGGAATCGGGTGGCCCGGCGAGAAAGTGCATCGCCAAGTTCGTCACCTCTGCTCGGAACGGCCACGGTAACCATCGCACCAGCAAGCGGAGACGAGGAGCGCAAGAGCTCCGTGGACGGTGACCAAGACAGTGAAAAGTCCAAGGGTGATGACAACGCGGTTCTGCAAGCGCTTTATGAGGGTGCGCCGCTGTCCAGCGTGTTCCATCACGACCTTGCCGAAGGTAAATGGTCGCGTTTCGGTCGGTATGTGCGTTTACTTGTTTTTGCTTGGTTTTTCTTGGACGCATCCCATTCCTGATGGACTTCTGTCAAAATTGTTCTTGGTTGAGGTGGAAGTCCCCTTTTTCATTTGCTGCTGACGTTTCAACGATGCGTGCGACAGGATCCGGGAGAATGACGATGGAACAAAAGAGGATGGAAGAGGCCGCCAAACGCGCTGCGCAAAGAGCAGTGAACCAGCTAAGGATGTCCCGACGCACGCTTAGGGCAGGAGCTGGCCAGGTGAGGCGGGCGGAGTACGTCAACGCCAACAAGAGTGCCTCGTATCTCACACGTGTTTCCCTTTGTTGTCTGTAGTGTCAGCTGGTCGCTGATTGTTCGTCGGTGCTCTGACGCCACTGGTGTAAATTTCGTAGTTGGTCGTCGTAAGCTTATGTTGCCATCGCTACCTCGGCGTGCCAAGGGTTGATTGGTAAGTCGTTGTAATAGCTTCTACGGTCCAAGGTTCGCTCGAAAGCGTGGGGTGCAACGTGTTTTTGTCGTAAGTACACTAATCCACTTTAACATGCACACGGGGGCAACCACGTCTCTGGCCATCAACAGTGAAGTTAGCACCGCAGGATTATTTGCGTATGGCTCCTGCTGGTGTGCCAAAAGTATATTCCAGAAGGTGGAAAGGTGTGTCCCTAGTTGGATATTGGAAAAGAGAATGAAAAACATGTGTGGCAAGCGCTTTGCCGGCATGAGGACTTCACGTGTGTGAAAAGAACCCCTCGGAGAACCTTCCCCTCGTGAATCGAGATCGCGTTCAGTGCAATGTAATGCCGTCGCGTTATGGTTGACAGGGCGTCATATTTTGCCGCTGGCCGGTATTCGTTTTAGACTACGAATGGTCTTCTTGCGCCGTTGAACAGTCCACATCGTCGCTTGGCGCACCTTGCGAACAGGGTGGTTTCCAATCCTCATGGACGGGTAGGAATGGCGGGACCAGCGCTGAGAACACGTCGCAAGATGTCCCACGGGCGGGCAATCTGATGGCTGGCGCAAACGTAGGAGCTGGTCGGCGGTTTGGAACAGTCTCCAATCCCAGCATTGCTGGCAGACAGGGCGGGCGTGAAGGGCAAGACACAGCATTTCTCGGGCAGCAAGAGCCCGCATCAGCGCCTGGGCAAAGCAGTTCAGCGGGCGTGTCTTCCCAGGTTAGGACCGTTTTTTTCGAATGAACTGTATGTGCGCTGTCTCCCGAGCTGGGCCGCCCTGCGATGTAGTGCCGACCGTATGTACTGAGTACTCCTTAAACTGCTTGTGTACCACTATGTTTGCTTCCCTGTTTGTTCGAGGCAGGACATTCTGCGACAGATTCGCCTCCGCAATGGGACACAGCCAGCTCCGTCGCCAGGAATATTCCCAGGTGTGTCATCTATTGTTTTGACACAGCAGTAAGTAGCTGAAGCAACAGCGGTACAGTCCGTTCAGTAATTCTGAGATACCACGTTTTTACTTTGGGACGCTTGACGGCGGGGTTCATCTTTTGCCGACACCAACTTGATGCTCGTTGGACGTCTCTTATTTTGACCAACAGCGAATGCCTCGTCTTGCGCTCCTCCTATGGCGCGTTTTTCAGAGTTTCAGACGCCAAGCACCTCCGACGACAAAGACGCCTACTTCGCAGCTCTGCTGCAACGCTTACAGGTACAGGCACCCACAAACATTTGCTAGGAAAATGCAAACACTAGGAGTGTCTGGTTCGGCGGAGTACACGCCAAGAAATGTAGTCGCTTTAGTTGTCGACGCACAGGCTTGCAACACACGCTAGAAATCCATGCATGAGGGCTATTAGGTGCATCTTGGGCGCTCCAAGGACATTTCCACTGCAAGGACACGCACATATCCCCTTGACCACGGATCAATAATATATTTTACATTTGTTATCAATATGACGAGTGTGTAAACCCCCACAAACGCCGCAGGACTACCTGGCCCAAGCACCTTCAGGGGTCGATACGGCCGCTTTGATACACGCCTTCGAGGATGTTCCGGCCGGCGACGTTCCCGTCTTTCGTCAACTGCTTCAAGCCGTTGCTACCTGCGCCAACGGAGAATGGACCCTGCGGGATGCTCCGAGCAACTGAGATCGACGTACTGGGTTACATTGTTTTCTGCCGTGCGATTGGTTTCAGACTCATCGTGGAACTGAGACCCGCACGCAACGAAGTGGAACGGGTTCCATGAGTGTTGCTCGGCCGCGGCTTCCGAGTTTATCCGAGTTGAGCCTACACTTTCAGGCGAAAGGCAATGGTGTAAATAAGGTTCCAGATCCACACGAAAAACGGCAGCACTTGCCGTTGTACTACGTGTTGGAGTGGCAAAGGAGATATGTACCCCTGGCAGCCGTGTATTGGTTTGGGGGCAGTATTTGCCTCGGAGTCATTAGCGCCAGAGGGACCAGTCCACAACAGTGTTCATGGGTCATGATTCGGCCTTCGAGCTATGTCTCCAACTGCTGTTTCACCTTATCCGTACTTGCTCTCGGGGTGGATTATTTTTTTTTTGTCCTGGCTTCAAATCAGCGCTCACAGCACATGCGCCGTTTACTCCAACCCGTGGTCACAGAACCGTTTCCCCCTACCCACCCCTCCTGTGGTACTATGCCTTCGAGAAGAGTGCAGCATTCTCTTCCCTCTGTGTACACACGAACTAGCGCTTTCCAACCAGGCCAGGAACGGAAGCGAGAGAAAAAACCACTTTACAAGAAGCTCGCTTTCGCCGGGATTCGAATCCCTGACCCTGACCCTGACCACTAGAAGGTTTTCGCGGATACCAACTAGACTGCCGGGGCGACCGACTCTGGAATACCAAGTGTATGTGAGCTCGAGAGAAGATAGCTACAGTTGTAAATTTCTCACGCAAGCTATTCGATACTCCGTACATGGTCTCCACAAAATTGGTATGTTGGAAGGCAACGAATGCCGAAAGTGTTTGATCCCTCGCGCCTTGCTCCCAAGACTTCATAACTTGGCCTCTTAGAACCAAATTTCGGGTTTACTCCTATCTAACAAAGATCTTGTGGCGGTGAGGGTTGATGGATGATGCCCCGTCCTGATCCTGATCCGTTCGGGGGGATGACTCCTGTACCGGCTGTTGTCTCTGCAAAAACGCACAGGCGTGGTACCACGTAATAAGCCACTCCCGACCGTCCATTCAACATGTTGTTTCCGATTCATGAACGAGTCTACCACCCGACCAACGAGGGCACTTTATTTCACTCGAGAACGTCGGTGACACAACAGCTACTGTAACACAACGAGTATTAGTAACATTGTGTGATATTGCCGAACCTGTTCTCGCACATTCAGCGCTTTCTTGGCATGAAAGTAGCCATGGTTAGCCTGGCGCAGCTTGCTTCGCTCTATTGCGGCTGCCTTTCGCTCGCTCCTCTCTTGTCGCAGTCTGACGAGCGCAGACGAAAATGTATATCTGGGTATGCATGTATTCAAAACGTTCGCGAAATGCACCTATAGCAGTCCTTTGCGTAGGTGCCACTAAACGTCCGCTGGCCTCACATCACCCAACTAGGTTTTTTGGTTGTCTCAATGAGGGTTACGTCTCCTACACTGCTGTGGCACGTGATCCAAAACAGAACGACGGTGTTGCTAGAAAACCCAAAGAGGAGGCCCTCGGCTTGCCTCAGTACTAGATAGTCGCGCACTTGGGGACGTTCGGCAAAATTGGATCTATAATTTAGTGTTGATGGGGTCTGAAATGAAAGTATATATAGAAGTATACATCTTCGTGTGGGATAGTCTGCATACACTCTTGGTTGTTTGGAAGGGGAGGGCACACCCACGCCAGGGAATCCACACTAGACGTCCGGAGCGGAACTGGCTTCTAGTTTTATCGTTGTGAACATGTGAGGAGCAAAACAGAACAACACCCCGCAGCCGTACTTCGACGACGAGGAAGCGGTTGAAAGAAGAAAAGCTCACCCGATTCAAAACTAAATGAAGGCACGTTTGAGAAGGAAATTACATGTAGGAGAAGACCAAAAGCCGTCTCAGACTAGACACCAATCCGTCCAATATAGTACTAAGTAATACATCGCCGTATCCGCGATTGCGTGGTTATTATCAAACCTGCCCGCGCGGGCACGGAAAGGATCGTGTGTGGTTACCTTGACCATCTCGGCGGGTATCGATGTCACTTTCACCGTCGGTGCTCTTGCGCATATCGATCATTCCTTCGACGTATGCCAACGAGGTTAGGCGACCTCACCTATCTTTTTCTTCGGTGGTCTTGTCCGGGTTGGAGTACGAAGAGTTGGCCGCTTTCAAGGCGCCCTGTCGCCCTCGCTCGTGTTCTTCCTCAACAATCACCTGCAGCAAATATGGTTCCAGCTCCTTGAATGGTTCCGAGTGTACTTGGGCTACAACGAAAACTTACAAGCTATTGTATGCAAAGAGCCATCACTGCAGTCGACAAACGCCTGGGCAAGCACAAGTTTCTTGTATAGATCAATATTGAGGTTTCCCATAGAGAAAACATTCCGAAGTCGACAACATCCCTACGAAAGTGGTCGCCATGTTTGGGCACGTTTCGACAAGCAAACGAAACTACTGGAAGCCGTTTTCGTAATCCGATAACATGTGCAGGGAGGACACTTTGAATCAGACCGAGAAGCCGGTAACAATCCATCAAGAGAATCGTAAACAAAAAGGCAGCAAATCATTGGCCAGCGATCTGATCCTCACAGCCCGGCTCTTTCGAACCAGCCTCGAGCGGCATCTAAGTTTGCCGTGGACATGGCACACAAGTCTTTCAGCCCCATTCGATATCTGTGTAATGCCAAAAGGGAAGGGGACGAAGTGACATGATTTCTTCATCTTCGAGACTTTAGTTGTGGTGTCGGGGGTCTACACGCATCTCGGTCAATCAGGGAGCTCTAAAATGCTCACCAATAAAGACAGGATTTCCCAACGTGATACGTGCTCAACCTTCGCAGTTGGTACTGAATAAAGTAGACTAATAACACCCCCCAGACTCCGGCAACACAAGATGCAGATTTGAACAATAGTCTTAGTTATGGGGTGAGGTTACCGTAATAGTGCGTGTTATGGCAAAGGGGTGCGATCGTGTGTATGTAAACCGTAATAGATCGTGTGTATGTAAACCCCGGTACCATGACACCGATGGGTACCATAACACCAATACTGCAATTAAACCAATACCGATACTGCAATTAAATCGTTTCGTTCTAATTTTCCAACGCAACCCCGGTGCGATGACACCGATGGGTGGGATACGGAATAACACACAGTGGCCCTGCTACGGTGCTGAGTGCAGGCACCCCGGTGCGATGATACTGATAGGTGCGATACTGAAGAAACCAACACAGGCGCCTCCCGGTACAGGATCCATCTACCGAAGCACATACACAACCTCGGTAACACAAAACACTCACCTGTGTCTGCGACCTTATTAATATTTAGTTTGTCTACCTCAAGGGGCTCGGTAGTACCATTTAAGAGTTCTTCTTGTGTTCGGTCGGTTGGAGGTACGGGATGTGTGCCGTGTGCTTGCTTGGTTGAGCATTTGATTTTCCGATTACCGTATCAAAACATTTGACCCATGTCTACACGTACACCTCGACAGTACGATATACATGAAAGGATGGGTGCCCCCATTGATACCTACCGTACCCCAGCTGTTCGTTACATCGTACAGTTCAACGCGTGGCCTGGGAGGGTACCGGTACCTTGCGGAATACGTAACATTAGGTCCTAAGTAGTCACGAAATCAGTGATATTGCCTTCCCAAAACTGAAACTAAAAAAATACTCAAACACCAAAACACCAAAACACACCCAACACTATCTATCGCACCGGGTGCGACAACACCGATACCGGTTCGGAAATGCAATTAAATCATGCCGTTCTTGCTTTTTGGCACACCTTATTTATTCGTGGCGTTGCTTTCTTGCGCACCTCGGTGCCATAACCCCGACGTGTGCGAAAACCACCGATGGGTGTCATAACACACACAACTACGGTATTGCCCAAAAGGTGATGACAGAACGTGATGCGGCCGTTGGCTTTGTCAGACTATAACTACAGCGTTTGGAGCATGCAATAACCATGTGATGTTATTCCTCCCTTTATTTTATTGTCGAAAGAGTTCAACCCTCCCCCAACTTGGCGACTGTCAGGTGTATGTGCAGCGAGTACAACAAATAGTTTGAAAGTATCGTTTCCTAACCCATGAGCTGGACCCCGGAATGTCAAAGACATTCCATAGCTACATTGATCAGGAACGGTTTGCCAGGTTTCATTGCATCATACTACTTCGAAAATAGCCTAGTTTGGTCCATTCTTGCTCAAAAGGTCCCGGATACTGTAGACAATTCGCTTGAACGGAGTAGTGAGAGAGGTCAGTGCCTCATCGCCTATATTGAGCTTACAACTTCTCGCCGCTCTTCGGAGTTGGACCCTGGGCTAAGGACAAAACTTCCTGAAGCACCTACTCTTTGTTTTTAGCCCGTATTCTTCCTGACTCCTATCTTATGCTCTGTTTTGTCTTTTTGCCGGGTTCGATCGCCCCCCGGTTTGTCTTGCGTGACCTGCTATCGCGTCTGGTTGGGGATATTATGCATCTATTATTTTTTCCATTTGGTTTCTACAAGTTTAAGTGTGTGTGCCCTTTTTGCGGTAGTTGTCGGGAGATTTGATGCGTGGATTCAAGCAAGGGAGAAAAGGGGGAAATTTGAAACGAAGAGCGGGGAAACAGGGCATCGCACCACAGTTTAGGGGGCGTAGGGTTAGCTCGAGGCTGGGGGCATCAAAGGAGCATCGACAAGAGGAGAGAAAGAACGGTAGGACTTTAGAATTGTGTGGGCGAATGCAAAGGTCTATGCGGATTCGTCACGCAGGCATCATCTGATATCCACTCCGAATCCTATACATGTTATAGGGAAGACTAGTTCGGGGAAGAGGGATGCAAGAGGGGCAGCTGGACGAATATCGTGTTAACAAAGGCAAAGAGACTTATTTGTTTTTCCTTGCTGTTGGACTTGCAGGGTACAGTTTTCAATAACACTTTGTTCCTGAGACAACCACCACAGAAAACGTCACGTTCTATG